AAACGACCACTCAACATTGACGTTAATATCGAATAGATTTCATCTGAACCCTTCTCAATGCATCAATCCATTTCAAAATGGCTACAGATCAACGATGAATGAAAACAGAACAATAAACCAGCAAGTAAACACATAAATAAAGATCAGAAATGAGCACCAGCATCAGAAGGCTCAATATCCTCATTAATCGCTTCAATGATTCGCGATAACATCGTCGCAGACTGTGATTTCATGATCCATATCGGATTCTCTTTTAACGTTCTTACAGCCAGATCGATCATCTCTTTCTGATACAAACGTATCGTTGAATTCGTCTCTAAAATGAAACGATCATTCGTCTATTCATTTTTTACCATTATAAAACATCCTATGTCAATAAACAAACTTTATTATGCTCATCAAAGATGACTGAATTATTTCACTGTAGTGAATAAATTACTGATAACATTTATATTCGTGATACCTGTAATCATCTCTGACCACAGCTCTTCCCACATTTCCAAATTCTTTTTCGCCGCTTCATCGCCTTTTTCCACTGAAATATTCGTTGATAACTAAACGAAATGTATTTCTCGCTATCAATTGCCCAAAGTACCACAAAATAATCCTCTCCAATCATAAAAAGATGCAAAACTTGCACATGAAGAATGAGAATGATAGCATAAAATCATTTACTAAATCCATTCAAATGCCACATTTTCATCTATATATCTACCAATAAAAACAGAATAAGCACACTGCCCACCTTGTTGACAAGTAGCCATAAAGACGTACGGTATGAGAGAAGACGCACAACCGCTCAAAAATTCGTTGTTATTCGTCGATAGTGCACGTAATATATGCAGTGCAGTCAGTCTATCATCCTCTGAATATTGACAACAAAGTCAATGAAGATAACGATTGCACCGATAAACAAATAAACTCAATCATGCAAAACGCAACCAAAAACAACCGCTCAACAATACCTTGATCACCATCCAATTTATCTTTCAAAAATTTGATCAAAGATTCAATTTGTGAATCAGAACAAAATTTGATAAGGTAAGAGATGGCGGACGAGAACTGCTTGCGCACTGTGGCATTACGATCGCGCAGTCCACTGAATAATGCCTTCATCAGCTTATCTAAAATTAATTCTCATATCTCTTCATTGATACTTCTCTCATATTAACAACTCCGCTCGCACACAAATGTTTTTACAATTGAAAACAAAAAGTCAGACTGTGAATACGATAAATTTAATAAGAAAGTGAACGAAAGTTCGGTAAAACGAAAAAATGTCCACAGAAACTACGCAAACTTGACATTACAGCAATATTATTGAACAACTCGAATATGCTCACAAAATCAGAACGGATATAATATTGCGGCGAGTACATACCGCAAGCAGCCTTTGAGTCAATCATGATCTGTTGTTTCCTCAGGCACACGTTAATCACAAATTGACAAGCACCCGTTCGGGTTGTAAGACCGACACTTGAACGTAATGTATTGCAAAGTTTTGGTATTAAATCAGTCAATGTTTGTTTTGTTATGAACGGGACCACATCTTGTAGTGTTTGCATCATTGGTGACGTATTCGCCATACCAGCACGAGCTGTGTCCAGCTGAAATTCACAACTTTTAAACTGATCTCAAATTTGAGCTTTTTCAAAATTGTCCGCACTCCACAAAATGCATCTGATTTATCGCCTTCAATCACTCCAGAAATGCCTCAGCATTGCAAAAATTCAAAATTTCACTCAATTAGAGCGAATGAATCAAACAGATTGCCACTCATATTCGAAATATCTTCGTCTTAAAGAAACTACAACGAACCGCTTCCAGTTCATCGTAATCGGATCTCGCAGCCAAATAGTTCAGCATCGCTGGTTCAGTCTCACTTAAAGCATCCAGAAGACACGGCACAACAGTGATTAAATGTGGCTGTAACGCACTTCCAGCCTCTTTCGAGATATCCATCACAGCTTTCAAACTGTAATCATTATGTGTTTTTTAATTCTTCACAAGTGAGCTATTGGAACGATATAAATAACAATAATACGCAGCGAATAATCAGGACAATGGCAATAACGCTCATTATTAGTATTTGATTGCCGATAAAACTACTGTCATTATCAAATGAATAATTCAATGGAGATGAATGAATGAAAAGTGTTCAGTTCGTTCGTTTAGATACACATACCTGAACATGCGATTCGCTTTAACAACAGAATGTAATCCTTTCTCGATGAGAGTCGGCAGAATTATTCCAATCAGTTTTGTTGCTTTTGCACCGCGATCTGAGGAACATTCGCGGATACTCAGTTTCATCAGTGTGGACAACGCGCGATTGGCTGACAATCGCACCGATTCCTTGAATCAACATGACTGATCGATATGACAAAATCAATATGATTGATCAATTTTGTGGCTATTGTTTCGAAAGGATTAAACATACTGATCTTGAGATAAATAAACAAAACCTTAACATCATCCTGAACACGAAACAGAATTTCGAACAAATCACCGAAGCGCTCCTCCATGTTCGCCGTGCATTTCATACTCATCAGATCAGATAACGCTAAACAACTGAAAAAAAAACGAAACCTTTTCAAATTATCAAAATATATCAGTAATATCTTTCTAAAGAATTTATGCAAAAAAACATATATTGCCCTGAGAAATGGTTATCGAAAACGATTCACGTGGAAATGATCGTGTGAAAATGATCGGAAATGATTAGGTAAAATGATTCACGTGAATGTGACATAAATACCTCGATTCCCGAGTACGCCACAACGCATTTGTGAGTGTTGTTAAGAGTTCGCTGAAAATTTCATCTGCATACTCCTCCACCTGAAAATGGAACAATTGCAAAGTAAAGTGATAATTGACGACGATACATTTCACAAAAACGAAATGATAATTGCAAATTGAAATAACATTTTGAGAGTGAGCGCCAAAAAGTTATCACTCTTTGATGATCGAAAATCCCGTAACAAACCAACAGAGGTGAAACGAATGAACAACAAAGTACACAAATTAACATCCGTGATGAAGTATTAGAACGACTGAGGACCAACCACTCACCACATTCTTTTTCGACATTGTTAGAGTTTGCCATATGGTTTTCATTGAGTGTTGTACTTTTAAGTCCGGATCGTAACGATAGCGGAATAATTTTGGAACTATCTGCGAGAGGTATGGCTCAAATTCATCGCGTGCTTGTTGCAAAACCACACTGAAGCCAAACGCAGCACCCTGAAGCGGACGCATCATTCATATTCTTTCTATTACTGCTCATTTGAAACATCAACTCGATCTGACCTATGCAGTAAATTCACCAAAGCAAACATGACTAAAGCCAATCAATGAAAACAAAAACCTTTTTTGAATTCCACATTGCATTATGATTCGCTAACTGCATAAATTTATACATTAACTCAGGCTGATTCAGATCAGTTGCCAATGAGCACAACTCTTGATAAGTGGTCAGGTTCTCACTGAAATTTTACGATAAAATATATTCAAAAACATCACTCACACGATGAAATTTCGGTTACACGACCGACCTCGACCGCTTTCAAACGAAAAAAAAGGTAAAATGACCCTTGCAAAGAGCAAAGAATGAATCTAAATATTAAAGAAAAAACAAATTCAAATGGAAATCCCGTCCCACTCAAAGTATAAAAACGAACGAACCCTCCAGGTGCCTTTCCCAACTCGCCTCCTTCAAATATCGGCGTATCACCCGTAACAGGTGTAACTCTCTTACGTCCAGACGACAACGCACTCACGAGCTCATTCATCATCACCTTCTTTTGTGTCTCATCAGCCAGTTCAAAAACAATGCCCAATCCTTTACTGGCAACGTCTTGTGTGAATTCTGTAAACATTTAACAAATTTTCATTTCCACCTAAGTAAAATCATTCGGTGTAAAATAACATTCAAAATGATCAATTTCAACAACAACTCCATCGAACATTACGCAAGTCCACTCACACTGAATAAATCACCTTCGAATAAAACTTAATAAAGAGACAATCGCAAAGATTATTCATTCTAATACTTCGACATATTCCTTTTTCTAAACAAAATATCACATGAATCTTACCATTACTTTCCGCGAGAGCATTAATGAACGCAAATTGTATTTTGTTGAGTTCCTCCGACAGGGTACTCAAATTGACCGTAGCTGATCGCTTCGTAACCGAAACTAACCAAATAATAGCTGACTGTCGTAAATGGCGATTTGTGCTTAGCAATTTAACATTGATTATTGTATTCAACAATTCATGCATCCGTTTTTCAATCACGTCGTATTTTTGTTTGCCATTCGCTTCAACGAAATTCTTTTCAGATTCGATGAAAATGTTTCGACGCGATGGCGAATATTCACCAAAAACTGCGTCCAATAATGCATTACCAACGCTGAATTGTAATTCTGGTTGAGGTGCAGCCTGAAAATGGCGACGTGAATCGTTTTTTTTTCCTTACTAAATTGTCTCACATAAAATTGGTAAACTTTTTTTCATAGAAACATTTTCTTCGCAATTTAACACATTTACTCATAAGATTGCCACCCACAATATTGCAGCATAGAGCTGCGTTGCGTTGATTGTGAGGAATTATCGTATTCAACGATACAATTTCACAGCTCAAAACAATATGAACAAATAATGCAAAATGAAACAATTATTATAATCATCACGACGATTGAACTGCGACATTCATTTAAATGAGAATTATTTGTATTGTGCAATATTCACCTCTCCAATCGCATACAATTCACTGATAATTCTCTCGTAAACTTCTTCAGACAAATCCAAACACGACAAAAATCCGAGGCATCCTGCAGCAGCTTCTTTCATTTTCAACGTTACCGTATCCTTTCGCGATGCTGCTAATTTACCCATTTGTTCAGCGAATTTGATAATACATTCAGTTGATCGCGCAGCGTATAGTTTGGTCTGAAAAACAAAAATATTACACATCTTCAAATATTCTTTGACAATGAATAATTTACTTTTCATCTAACTAACTGTAATAATAGTCTCGGTAATGACAATAATAACAAAAATAATAATNTAACGACAAAACAATAACAGAACTATCGATAAAGTAACAATGAGAATATCAATAAAATAATAAAATATTGAGGTAACAAACCAAATTTGAAAATCCGATAACGACTGAAGATCTCCTAAGAGATTCACACAAAGCCGCACAACTGAATTCGAGAAGAGTGTTTGGCTGTGCCAAATGATCCTCCACGACCCTCATTAATTGTTGTTGTATTCTATTCACATAATCGATGTCATTCGTTCCCGATCCATCAACACACGTCATATAAGCACATACCCATATTGTGCTCGGCAGTATATTCTCAAATAATCATTACATTCATTGTCACGCATTCAAAACTCAACAAAACTTTCACACTTCAAATCACTTAATTGTATTTTTCGATAACAGAAAATTTTTTAAACATTTTACGATGATATGAAACGAAATTGGTGTTGAACAATAATTTTTACTTTTCACCCTTTTCCACTGAATATTTCTACTCTTCACATAAGCCACCAAAATGTATTCAGTCATAAATATGTCACTGATCAGTTCTTGCTGATAAAACATATTTTATTTCAGTGATCTTAACGACCATTTCTGTCATCATATCAAAAACGAAAACGTGAAATGACTCAAACCGAATTATTTTGAAGTGTATTCATATA